GAGATGATAAAATTCTGGCGGCTCTCGATCGATCAAGTAGATCGAGCGCGAAATTTGAACGATACGATCGAGTATCAGCTCGAAAATTGGAATTTCTTGAAATTGAACGAGAACGAAATATAATATTATTTGAGGAGAAGTTTTCTTTCTTTTTTTTTTTTTTTCCTTTTTTTATTAGAATAAGAATTGAAAACGCGAGGCTCGATGCTCGAGGAACGCGCGTTCATCTCTTCCGAGTTTGCAATTCGGATACTTCGGGGAATCGGATCCGTTCGTTGAAACGTTTCCATTTTTATCGATAGCTGCTACGTAGATCCGATTATACGAGCGAACCAACCGGACTAAACGTTATCAGACGTAAAGCTCGTAGATCAGTGTAGTATTTAATTATTATTGCAAGTATATATTTCTATATCTATATATCTACACGTAGTTGCCTTGCAACGTTAGAACGATTATTTTTGTTTATTACGTAGCACCACCCAAATAGATATATCTTTTGAGAGTTGTATGCTGTGTCCATGTATAACAACAACGAAGTATCTCAATTGTTTGTCCGTTTTTTAACGAAATCCTATATTCGAACGAATTATTTTTTCAAATTAGAAAAAGAAAAGAAAAAAAGGGATATAATAAAAACGATATATAAGACGATCGATGAAATTACATCGGGAAGGTTGTATAAGAGAGCAATGGCACGCACGCTTCCCCGAGCAGCGAGGAAAAGAAAAGAAAAAGAAACGCGAGGAGAAAAGAAAAAAAGAAAGAAAAATGAGTCGAGTTAAAAAAGAAAAAAGAAAAAGACACCATGAATCGCTTAGAGGGCGCGGTGGTTGGGCCTAATTACTCCTATCGAATGTTTTCTAAACAGGTCTCCAGGTGGTGCTCAAGTCTATTATCAAGGCAATGGCGCCGCTTCTGCAGATCGGCCTGCTGGTACTTTTCGCCATCGTGATATTCGCCATCATCGGCCTCGAATTCTATTCGGGGACCCTGCATAAAACGTGTTACAGCATCAGGGATATCAGTGAGTAATCTCGAGAGAGAGGCGTTCCCTTTCTTTCGTTCGAATGTGTAAAAGAAAAGAAAAGAAAGAATGGAAAATGATGGAAAATTAAGGAAGGAAGGAAGGAAGGAAGGAAAGATTTTCAATTTTCGGACGAGAGAGATCGGTCTGACGTTCACTCTGTTGTAGATGTAATCGTGAAGGAGGGCGAACAGGCGAGCCCGTGTAACACGGACAACAAATCCGAGGCGCCATTCGGGGCCCACGTGTGCGACGCGAACATCTCGACGTGCATGGATCACTGGGAGGGACCAAACTTCGGCATCACCAGCTTCGACAACATCGGATTCGCCATGCTCACTGTCTTCCAGTGCATCACTATGGAGGGCTGGACTGCCATATTGTACTGGGTAAAGCAAGAGATATGTCCTTCAGTGTTAAAACTACTCTCTCTCTCTCTCTCTCTCTGTCTTTCTCTCTGTTTTCTTGTCTCTCCATCCCCTCCCCCCTCATTATAAGTCGTTGAAAGCCTCGATATCTCGGAATTTCCGTGTTTTCCATTCCGTGGATTCGACCCTTTATTCCCCTCACGAGCATCCCTCGCGTGGGATCGATGCCACCAGTCGAACCACCTCCAAGGTTCACCAAGGGCAAATGACCCGAGCGTTGTAAATTACTCGATTCAAAGAGTACGTTTCCCTCTCTGCATCTACGGTTATAGTCGCAAAATATTCGTGGATTCAACTAACGAGTTGTTGAAATTAATGAAACTTTGTATTTATTGGAGGTTAAAGATTGTACGAAGCAAGTTTTTTTTTTTAAATATTATTTTTTAATGACGAGAAATAGAAGAAAATATTTTGTTAAAATATATGTTACGGTTTATCATATTGTTTATTTAATCGAATTTTGAACTAATTCGTCTAAAGACGAATAAAGATAAAGATATTAATATAGGGAATATTAATTCTAAATTTTATAACAATTTTACAATATTTATTAAATGATTTAATAATTGGATCAATCAATATTTTAATGTTTTATCGTCCTTTATATTAAAAATATAATATTCTAATTTTTAATTGATTGATTTTACCTCCTCAAAAATTTTTCCAGTCTTTTTCATATATGAATTAATTACGGTGCAAACTTTCGTTAAAATTCGAATTTTCAAGCTAGACGAATCTAACACGAAATATAAGAAAAATTTTTGCGACTCACTGTACATGTATATTTCAATTGTTTGCCACCTATCCCCAATTTTTATACGTCTATTTCAAATTTTTCTAAATATTTCGTCGTAACCATTCCCCCCCCCCCCCCTCCTTTCTTGTCGATCATCCCTTATCTGTGTGTTTATTGTCTCTCTCTCTCCTCTTCTCTCTCTCTCTCTCTCT